CTAGGAGTATTTATGAGTTACTAGTGTGTCGGTCAACTCAAACTCGGCTATGAACGAGAGGAACATAGAGAAAAAATAATGAAAAATTAAATACTCTATGTGCATTGGAAGGAATCTTCTCTTGTCCTATTTAATACCTTTAAAACCATCCCTGTTGAGAAGAGGAGAATGTGATTTACATTAACACATACTTAACTTAACAGTGTGCTTAATACTATCCTGAATGGAGATGTTATGTGGAATTGCTGCTATACAGAAGAAAGGGAACCTTGGCATTACCACTGCAAAAATAAAACTGAGGCTTTCCTTTCTAGAGACATAGTCAATTAAAAAAGATATATTTAGGGCTGAACTGTGTCATGCCAAAGATCCATCTAGTCAGTAGCCTAGTGACAACGGCCAATAGCAGATACTTAGGAAAGGTGTGTAAGAGCAGAGCAGACATAAAGCTGCACAGTAAACCCTCCCAGTGTCTGGAAGTTAGTTTGTGCTTTAGGGCCTCCCTGAAGGATGACTATATCCTCATCTCTGAGCTCAGTAGCTCCCAATGGATCTCATCAAGTCTGCCTAAATCTCATTTGCTTGTAAAGTCCTGGAATCTTTCTGCACCACCCATCCTATCCCTCACAACCTCCCTTATCCTTCCCATCACTCTTAAAATAATCTACTCACTCAGAAAATGTTGCTGTCATCAAAATATTTAATTCTGATGCTCTCAGAGCAAGGACAAAAAGGCTATATACTAATTAACTAAACAGCATGAGATCACTAATTGACTAAACAGTACTAGAGCACTAATTAACTAATCAGTGCTGGAACAACAACTCAGACATTGTCTTGCTTTTTCTGCACAGTTAGATGTTAGCACAGTCTAGCATAACACTGGTTTGCACCAGCCCATGTTCCCCATAGCAACTTTATGTATGGTTTGGAAAGTTAGTATGGTCAAGAGACCATGCTCTGTAGGCAGTGTGGATGAGACCTCTCTGGTTTTGAGTATAAGAGTTTTTGACATATGGACACAAACAGGGCTACCTGACTTGGCTTTGTGGTGTGAATGACGTCCCATTTTGATTACTGGCAAAGACTTGGAGCACAGAAATCCATTTTTGCCTACACTTGTGAGAAACCCTGAGATGGCTCTGGCTTGAGATGATCCTTCAAAGATTCCAGAACTGTTTATGGTCTGAAACAGATGTCATAGTCCCTGGAGGATTATGAGCCTCTGAGATTTAGCAGTAGGTGAAATGTTGTGTTTTGGATGGCAGCTCTAGACTTCAGCATCTCAAGACAACCTTCACAATTGGAGCTCCATAGTAATGCTGCGGTGCCAAAAACTAATCAGCCTTCTCATTCTCATTGTCATGAATGCCAAGCTCCATGCTTTTTCATTTCCTTCCCTTACAGCTAAATTCCTAACTCATAAATTCCATTTTTTTTCACCCTGGCTTGTACATGGAACAGCTTCTGGGTCCCAAAGCTCAAATTCCCCTCTCTCCATTCACATATGTCCCATAGGCTGACCTCTTACACAAACCACGTATCTAGACCCTGAAGCAAAACACAGACAGTCCCTCAAGATCTCTATGCCTAAACAATGCCTGAAGTGGAGGAATTTTGAAAGCAGCTGTAATTCATCATCCTCAGTGTAATTTATTTCTCTCTTGGGCATTACAACACAGCCCAACATCAAAGACACTCAGCTGCAAAATGATTATGATACCATGCGCATTGCTGTAGAGTACAGATTATGGACAAACAATTACTCAGGCTAAACAGCATGATGTCTAAAAGGAGAATAATGAATAACAATGTTCTTCAACAAAATTGCATGTAGGAAACATATAAAGTCTTTGGAAAAATAAATTAGCAATAGAAAATGAATGAGTCTGCCAGGTCTAACAAGGATGATGAATGTAGTGAAAGTGAGTGAAGAGACTGTTTGGCTAGGAGGCCACTTTCTGACCTCCTAGCCAAAACTAACTGGAAGTTAAAAATGATCTATGATGTAAGGGGAAAAAAGTGCTCAATGACTTAAAGAAGGTCTCAGTGCTGAAATATCACACTGAACTTTTTATGGCTTCCAGTAAAATAAAAAGGATTTGTTAAAAAGGACTGTCGGGATGATATGGAAAATGTCCTGGTCCTACTGTGTCCATTCCATGGATAGTGGATCCCATTAGCATACCTGGGTGGGTGATCCTTGCTCTCTTCTCCAGTTCATTTCCTTAACCCTTCCATTTTAACTTGACAATTGGACTCTGGCTGCAGTTCAAGTTGAAAGTGAGATTTACTTCCCACCCATTGACGGCCTCTGTGTCACAAGAGTATTTCCCCTGATCATAAAAACAAGTCTCTGAGTTTCTACCATCTACAAGCATTTCTTGTTTTCTTCCTCACTGGACATGTAAAGCAGGGCTGTATTTTACATTTAACTGAAGAACTTATCCATCTCTTATGATCCCAGATAGATGCCTTAAACCATTAAAGAGATATAAATCATGATGCTTCACAAGTATAAAATGATTAGGGGACTACAGTTAATGTGGATATAAAAATGCAAAATATACTTCCCCGTATAAGAAAGTTATCCATTGCAAAGGCTTCTACGTTTTCTTCTGAAGTGCTCCATCAAGGCCATTGTCAAATATGGGATGCAGGTCTTGGCAGTATCACCTGGTGTCTCCCCTACCTACTGCCTGTCCCAAGCTGCTGGAGAGCAGCTTGGCTGAAAAGGACCTCGGGGTCCTGGTGGACACCAAATCAAACATGAGCCATCAGTGTGCCCTTACAACAATGAAGGCAAATGGTATCCTGGGCTGCATAAGGCAAAGAATGACCAGCAGGTCAACGGAGGTGATCCTTCCCCTCTGCTCAGCACTGGAGAGGCTACACCTGGGGTACTGGATGCAGTTCTGGGATCCCCAGTACCAGACAGACATGAGCATATTGGAGAGAGTCCAGCAAAGGACCACAAAGATGGTGAAGGGACTGGAGCACCTCTCCCATGAGGAATGACTGAGAGAGCTGGGACTGATCAGCCTGGAGAAGGGAAGGCTCAAGGGGGATCTCATCAGTGTATATAAATATCGGAAGGTAGGGGGCAAAGAGGACAGAGACAGGCTCTTTTCAGTGGTGCCAAGTGGGAGGACCAGAGACCATGGGAAGAAACTGAAACACAGAACATTCCCTCTGAACATCAGGAAACACTTTTCTAGTGTGAGGGTGACCGAGCACTGGCACAGGTTGCCCAGGGAGGTTGGGGAGTCTCCGTCCCTGGAGATATTCAAAAGCCACCTGGACATGGTCCTGGGCAACCAGCTCTAAGTGGTCTTGCTTGAGCAGGAGGGATGGACCAGATGACCCCCAGATCTCCAATCTCAACAATTCTGTGATTATGGAACCTTTTCCATTCTTCAGAGATAGACCAGGTTTCTTCCAGATGCAGCATCCCCCTTGGCCATAGCCCAGCTCCCCTCCTGCCATTGAGAACCAGAATTTTGGGGCAGGCAGCGCAAAACTCATTCAAAAGGGAGGAGGGAGCAAAAAAGGATCCTAAGAAAGGATCAGCATGTCCAGCCAAGGTCAGTTTATCATGTCCAGCCAAGGTTGAACCACCCTCGGTGGTCACGCTTCTCCCTGTTTGCTGTTGCTCTTTTTATCTAGTTGATGAAGATCAGTTCATGTTACCTGGAGTAGCAGACAGCTGGACTGGCAGATAAATTTATTACAAGGGAATACAACATGTGCATCAACAATTGCTAGTCTGAAGTGTTGGCTTCTCGAGCCTGAGTTTGCCCTGCTTTGTTTTTGACTCGATCTGAGAGCGCTCCAAATTTCTGAGGGTTTTTTCATGCTTCACGGCCCTGTGGGAACTATGCAGTGTGGAGGTGTTTGTGTAACCTCGAGCGCTACCTTGAACAGGTTGCTGCTCCCCCATTTTTAGAGAACATTTTTGATCAGATCAGTTTAATGAGTTATGAGTATAGATAAATTGTATTAATCACAAATTTAAACAGCTTCTTATCAGATATTTTAGTATAAAAGGAGTGTTTCTTGGGAAAAATGCTACCACTTCATTAAAGATGCTTCAGTTTCTGCTTCTTCTTAGTTACCTGGGTAAGTTGCAATTGAAATATTTGGGCTGGGAAAGAGTGAACCTCTCAACCTCTAAGTGGTGCAGATTAGAGCATATCAATTTTGGGTCTGCAGTTACTGGGCTAGGGCAAAATCTGATGTGGACACAATTATTCTGGTGAGAACAAGATCTCCATGAGAAAGATCTGGTAGTTTTCTGAGTGAGGGGAGGGGAAGCCTGCACCCCAAAAGAAAAATAATTTAGGATGGTGCACAACTACCTGACAGTTAGGGGGGGGTTGTACAGAGTATGGGAAACAAGTCAATTTATATAAAAGCTCTGTATCTTGCAGCCTGTTTATGGTAGTTTTCAACCACAGAGGCTTTAAAGAGCTGCCAGGATGGAGAGTGATCACAGGGTCACCAGGCGCAAGTCTTGATCACTTGATCTTTGTCGTGGTTTGAGCCCGAACCAGGACAATCTTTCAGACTTGCTTCGCTGGCTGCCCTGCGCAGCACAGGGTTGCTGCTGGCAGTGACCCGCGATGACGGACGCTCTTTAGGAATCCACATGACAAACTGCACTCCTTTTTTTTGTGTGGCTAGGCGCAATCTTTGGAAGTCCCCTGAGGGATACTCTTCAGGAGGATGCGCTGACGGGGCGAATAATTGGAGGCCATGAGGCCGACCCCCACACCTGGAAGTGGCAGGTAATGCTGGTGTCTTACACTTGAAAAAAAAACCTTATACTTGAAAGAAGAGTAAGAAAACGGCAGCTTCCACTGTCCAAAGCCACACACACTGTTTCTGCAGAGGCGTGGAATGGCTTGAGTGTAAAATGTGTTGTTTTTTGTTCCAGGTATCGCTTCAGATTTCCTATCCTGACTACCCGGGGTACTACACTCACATTTGTGGTGCAACCCTTATCACTGGCAAATGGGTGATGACTGCAGCCCATTGCTTCAGCACGTGAGTAGGATAAAAAGTATTAAAACTCCTGTTCTGCTCCTCATTCTCACCCTCTGAGCTCCCCACTGGTGCTGTTCCTCGCACAGCTGGACATCTCCCTGCACACTTAATCAAGGGAACTGGAAAACCGTGTTTGCTTTAGCCTTGATTTTACATATTAATTGCTGACTTCCTGGGAGTGGAAATCAAGCTGATTGCTGATTTGCATAAAAGGAGGATGCATTTGCATGAATGTGAGAATCTTGAAGGGGTTTGAATCCTGAGATGGAAAGATTGAACAAAAGGCATGCTTCCTAGCTCATGGGCCATGTTGTACAATTTGCTCTGCAGCATGTCTAACATTCACTGCCTAAATGATACAGCGTGACACCAATAAGAGAGCATTCCTCTTTAATTACTCATGCCTTTAGTGAATGTACTTACAATAAAGTGTAACAAGCTGATCCTTCACACTCTGTTTCAGATAGATGCAGAGATGCAAAATGAACATTCTTGCTCAAGACCAAGCTCAGCACTGTTAGCTGATGCTGCAACTTCATGTCCTTCGCCAGCAAACCGCAGGCAGCATTTGCTTAATTCATAAGACCACTTAGCTACAGGCCACTGAAAATCCGCTGGTGGAAGGTTCTTTAGGAATTATTACATTCATGGAAGGTCTCAGTGGTGCAGGAATTACACTGCAAAGCTAGTGTTGGGGAGTTGTTTTTACATTTCATTTACATTCATCACATATTCTGTGATTTGTTTGCAGGCCAGAAGGATCAACCTACCGCGTGGTTCTGGGTGAGCACAATCTTGCAGAGGACGATGGCACCGAGTACAGTATTGATGTGGAAAGAGTCTTCATTCATGAAGGCTGGAATCCCAATAACATTGCCAATGGGTAATTATTTTGGATATCATCAAATCGTTGAATAGTACTTAGCACGTTGTCCCACTAGCATTTATATGTATATTCAGTCCAGTTCCCAGTGAGGTTGGATCTGTGGGAAGCACTGGAAGATGATGGAATGGAGATTTCCCAAATGACCTCTTCTCTTGGAGGTGTTACACAGTGTCTGTGTGGATGATCTCAGTCCTGTTTTGCCCAAGATGGGGGAAAGATGGGCCTTACAGATAGATCCAGGGTGTACAGCAGATTCAGGAGTTTGCCAGCAGTCACACCACTGTTTGCATCTGATGAAGGGAAGCCAACAAGGAAATGCTGAGGAACTGTCTTAAATCCCCTCTTCAGAGCCATGCCTGTCAACTCAGAGTCCACTGGAATTCACTCTGAGGTTGGGTGCCTCCAAAGAAGTAGGAGATTTTGGGGGGCTTTTAGCCCTTTATCAGTCTATACCATGGCCTCTTCTCTCTTAATTGCTTATATTTTCTTGTTGCCTGTGTTAGCTATAGGAATTAATTAATGATGTTTGCAAGGTGCTTGTCTATCATCATGCCATAGTCTAGAGACCCGTGTAAGTGACAAAATACAAGTGAGGGCATCTGGTTTATGACTAATTCAGGATTTTTGGTAAAGAGTTTTCTACCTGTATCCTGTTTCAGCTACGACATTGCCCTGCTGCGCCTCGATTCTCCTGCCTATAACAATGGGTTTGTTGAGCTGGGGCTGCTCCCATCTGAAGGAGACATTTTGCCCAATGATTATCCCTGCTATATTACTGGATGGGGGGCGACTAGCGGTAAGTAAGGGGGAAGGAGGAGTGTTGTGGGTCTCTCCTGGTTTCAGAGGGATCGCCGTGCAGGCAAGGCTGTACGAGGCAGGGTGTGGGCTTCCTTCCTCAACCGCTGGAGCTTCTGGACCAAAATCTCACCCTTTCTCTAACAGTGGATGGCAGCGTCCCGGACAGACTGCAGGAGGTGTTGCTGCCAGTGGTCGACCATAAGATCTGCTCCCAGGATGACTGGTGGGGATCTCAAGCAAAAGTCACTATGCTCTGCGCAGGTGGAGACGGCGTGAGGGCTGGATGCAGTGTAAGATCTGTTATTATGAGAGGATTTTCAAGCTCCCCTCTTTCTCTTTCCTTATTATTTGATCCTGCTGTTCCTTCAGTTGGGATTTGGTTTTGCCATTTCTCCACCTGCAATAGCTCTCCTGCAAATCCTGGCCCCTTTGCTGCTTTCTGCTGAATATCTTCTAAACCTGACTGCTCCACATTCCTCCATCTCCCCATAGAGCAGCCAGCAGAGAGAAAACTTCCAAATCCTCAGGGTGCATGCCTCCCCTCTGATCTTGGAGGGGATCTTTGCCTTTTCTTACAGCAGCATGTCCTGTTGACCAGCTCCTGGAGATTTCGTCAGTCCCCTCTGCCCTCATCCAAAGGATGAAGCTGCAGGGTAGTTTTACCACTCCTCCAACGTTGCTGCCATGTTGCACCCCAGGCCACACAGTACTCATCTCTGCTTGTCACCCCTCTCCTCCTCAGCCGCTCTGCTTGCATGGACAGCTGAGGCTGCTGCAAGTTTTGGCTATGTCCAACTGCACCGTCTGGCCCAGGTTAGGTGGAAAAGGAAGATGCTGTGAGGTTCCCTTTATCCCAGGGGCTCCAGGTGGCCCCAGCATCAAAGTGAGGAGGTTTGGCATGTGGAGGCAGGGAATACCTGTTACCTCTGCTTGTATTCCCTTTCCTACAGAGGTGAAAGCAACCACTCAGAGCCCTTAAAAAGTAGTGGACAAATACGTAAAATAATTATAGGTCTATAGATATTTAGTGTATTTTTTGGTGTGGTTTAATTATGGCAGAATCTTGTTACAAACTGGATTCTGAGCCAAGCAAGAGCCTTTATCTTCTCACATATTTTAAATCGAGCTGCTTGCTTCTTCACCACCTTATCTTCCTGGGTCCCATTAAATATGCTTGTTTGCAAAGCACAAGAGGAGCAGCATTTCCCTTCTCCTTGGTTCCTTGTAGCTGGAGAGTGCACTGATTTTTTAACAGAGATGCTATGCAGGTGGACCTTGTTGGGATGTGTGATGTGGTGTGCCCTGGGCCATTTACTTACAGTCACTATATTTAAAATGGTGGTGGTAAAAAAACCCTTCCTGGGGTGTCTATGTGTATATATGTGTGTGTGTCTGTGCATGTAGACTGAGATAATAAATAGTCGGGTCTTTGCAACACCTTGGGAGGTGCTGGGTGGTCTCTACTAACATGCTGCTGGGGAGAAGTCAGTTCTTTGCAGAGAAAGCAGCACAAATTTTTATCTGCATGTTCAGAACAGTGATTAACTAACTAGCACTCCTTAATCCTAACCAGTCATTCCTCAATTGCTCAGATAATTTGGCTTAATGTGTTCCTATCTTTCCTCTGATCCAGGGGGACTCTGGCGGTCCTCTCAACTGCTACAAAGACGGTAACTGGCAAGTCCATGGGATTGTGAGTTTTGGCCTGGTTCCTTACTGTAACACCTACAAGAAGCCAACAGTTTTCACACGTGTGTCAGCCTACGTGGACTGGATCCGCAACGTAAGTTGCTTTAGTGCCTGCGAGGTAACCTGATGCATCTCCTGTAAAGGCAAGGGACTGCCAGAGGAATTAGACTTTAATTTATGAAACCATTAGGAGTTGAACTGGGAGATTTGGGGAGGTCTAAAATCAGCATATTTGTTGCTACTTTTGGTGTAGTCAAACAATTGTAAGGAAGGAGCTGCTGCCTTGGAGCTGAAATGCTCTGCTGAGGACCACCGACAAAATTCAAACCAGGCAGGAGATGGCCTCTGTGTCCAAAAAATTACCATCACCACTCACCCAGGCAAAACCTTACTGCAGGAAACCACTGAAGGAATTTGCTGGCTGGTGGATGGGAAATGCAGCAAACATGAAGCATCTCTACCAGTGCAATTCCTGCAGTGCTGCACTACGCACTCTCAGCTTTATATTTGGGAACAAGCAACAAGCTCTTTGCTCCCAGAAATAGTCTGGCACGAGGAGCAGCCGTTTCCCAGGCACAGGAGATGGTTTTGTAGAAATGCTGCTGTAAACTGTGGGGCCTGCTCTAAAGAAGGATGGGGAGAGATATTTTAAATCACTGCAAGGAAGATGGAGTCTAATCCAGTCCATAAACCTTTCTGGGTGGGTACAGGTTGTTAGAGCAGTCCCCTGGCCCAGGTGGGAACAAGCCCTGCTTCAGAGCACTTGCATGGGATGGAGCTATGCAATAGTCTGGCTCTTACTGAATTCACCTCTTCTTTGTTTTCCAGGTTATAACAGATAACGGGGATTTCTAGAGAAGAAGCAACTGGTGCATGAATATGAGAAGAGCCAGAATGAAGTATCTCTGCTCATTAACCCTCCTCTCATCCCTTCTACACCTCTTTCAGCTATTAATAGAAAAGTTTGTCTAAGAGTATAATAAAGTGTCAGTGGTTGCAACCAGTCATCTGTTACTGTGTTTGCTCAGCCTTAGGCACTGACACAGACCCAGTCGGCAGGGAAGGAGGCTCCAGCAAATGCCACAGCCTGTAACAGCAATATAAATTGTTGAGAGTGTCCTTAACTGGGGGATGGGCTGTGGGCAGCAAGCACGGCTCTTCAGGGCTGTAAATTTATCACCAAACACACCCTGCAGAAAATGACCGTGGTGGGGTTTTCTCACTGAGGGATTGCATAGGGATAACCCCACCAGCGGTGAAGGTGGCCAGCTCAGTACTTGCAGGTTGGTGGGAGCAGAGTGATTGTGTGAGACTGCCAGGAACAAGTATAAACTGGGAGAGGAGTGGCTGGAGGGCAGCCCTGCAGGAAGCGATCTGGGGGTGCTGGTCGACAGCAGGTGCAATATGTGCCCTGGCAGCCAAGGGGGCAAACCCCACCATCAAAGATGTCATAACCAGCTGGGTAAAATAGCTGATTATCCTGCTGTATTCAGCACTGGTGCAGCCTCACCTTGAGTACTGTGTGCTGTTCCAGGTCCCACAATTTAAAAAGGATGTTCAGGTCCTCGAATGAGTCCAGAGAAGGGCAACAAAGCTGGTGAAAGGGCTGGAAGGCATGACCTGTGAGAAAGAGCTGAGGACTCTGGGTTTGTCTCATTTGGAGAAAAGGAGGCTGAGGAGTAACCTCATTGCTCTTTGAAACTTTCTGAGGAGGGAAAATGGAGAGGGAGGTGCTGAGCTCTTCTCCCTGGGATCCAGTGATGGGATGTGTGGGAATGGTTCAAAGTTGTGCCAGGGAAGGTTTAGATGGGACATTAGGAAGCATATCTTCACCGAGAGGGTGGTCAAACACTGGAACAGGCTTCCTAGAGAGGTGGCTGATGTCTCAAGCCTGCCAGTGTTTAAGAGGCATTTGGACAGTGCCCTTAACAACATGCTTTAACTTTTGATCAGCCCAGAATTGATCTGGCAGTTGTACTAGATGAATATTGTAGGTCCCTTCCAACTGAAATATTCTATTCTATTCTATTCTATTCTATTCTATTCTATTCTATTCTATTCTATTCTATTCTATTCTATTCTATTCTATTCTATTCTATTCTATTCTATTCTATTCTATTCTATTCTATTCTATTCTATTCTATTCTATTCTATTCTATTCTATTCTATTCTATTCTATTCTATTCTACTCTACTCTACTCTACTCTACTCTATTCTATTCTACAGCAGCTGGCAGAGTTTTTGCTTGCAAGACTGGTCTCTCTTTATATTCCTAAACAAAGCTTCAGTACAGCACTGCTCATATACCGGGCATCTGCCTCAAGTGTACAGGCAAACTCAACCCATAGAACGCACAATCCATCTGACCTATTCTTAACTTCACTCTCTGCAGGATGATTTCTTTTAAAAATTCATTTCCTAAGACTAAGTGCATAGAAAAGGGCATTTATTGAGGGTGCTTTTCTAGTGAGGAAGCAATAAATTCAGTGAAAAACAATCCCCTGTGCTGTTAGGCATGCAAGGGCCTGTACTCCAGCCAGCTGGGCAAGCCTATCTGCAGTGTACAACATTTCCAAATAAAAACCATGTTCCTATTAGGCACACAGCAGGGTTGGTAAAGAGAGGGAAGGAGGAAGAGAGGGAGATGTATGTGCACAATAAAGCAAGATTTGTCTTTTGATGAATCCCACAACCTTCCCTCTCCCCCTTTTGCTGTGTATGAGATGAGCATTTATGACTGAAGGATTTTGATTTAGCTCTTTTTCCATTTTAAACTACCTATGTCCCATCTCTCTTAAAGCCTGCACACACCTAGGGCATAGCAGAGTTCTTTGCAAAATTCTCTTTTTTGGGGAATGCACATTTCTTCTCTCCAAAAGCCACTAGAGGGCATTGGCAAACCAAAGGAACATCAAATACGGTTATCACCGACTGCTGAAAAATTTCTGTGGGCCAAGAATGATAAAATGGCATGTACGTGGCCTTGCACTGTCCTTCGTGTTTGCTTTCAGACACACAGATAAGCAGTGACACACGGGAGCTGCTTTTCACTGCTGTTATCCAGAGGTCCGATTTGCAAACAGATAAATCTTCCTTATTACGGCGAGTGCAAACGAAAACGAAACCAGCAGCGCTTTCTTTAAGGCTTGTAAAGGAGTGGAGTCCCAGCTGTATTTTTAGCTCCCTGCTTTATTGAACTGCACTTGGCAGTGTCTCCTGGGTGCTCAGTAGTTTGGCAATTCTCCTTTTCTGACAAGTTAAAGAAACACTGGATCTCAGTTTTCCTGCCCCTTAATATTACTGAATGGTTTTTGCTCATTTTAAGGCAGCATGTGTGATTTCTGCTGGTATATCAAGTTCAAATATTTAACTTCTGAAAGAGCCTGGATCTGTTAGGCTCTGTGATGGAGTAATGTCCCTTATAAGAACACTTAGCAGCCAAGTGACAGGAGCATGCTGTCATCTGAGATCCTGGCCTGACAAGCTTTCCCCTTTGAGTTTCAGAAGGAATTAAAAAGACACAGATCAAAGGTTTGGGGAAATTATATTTTAAAGGGAGCCCCTCAAACCACTTCAAAAAATTACTCAGGTGCTGAGAACTGAAGTATTAGAGTGCCTGGTGGTTTTGCAGTGCCTGATGCCTGGGCTGGGGGTCAAACTCCATGTGCTCAGGGTTATGGGGGGATTTGGGGATGTCACATAGGGTCCCAAATTCTCATCAGCCTCCATCCCTGGCCTGGGCTGAGCAGAGCTGGGAACCCTTGGGGACACTGCTGCTCCTTGGGCCAAAAGCACCCCCAGAACCGTGTTGCCAATTTCATGAGTACGCATGTACCTTGCCACAACCCAAAATGCCACAGCCATCCCCTGCTTGTCCCCTGATGTGACAACAGTGACAGGCTGCCCCTGCTTCTGCCCACAGCCATGCAACTGCCCCTGGTCTCCATGGGGCAGTCGTGGCCACCGGGTGCTTGAAATCTCTTGTCACAAGCTGCTCCGAAAGCCAGGCTGGACATTGCTCCTTTAAATTCTTCCTCCACATGAGGAAGACATGGACCTGTTCCTGCAACAGCCAGGAGGAGGAACATCAGGCTACACCCACAGGAGCAGGAGAATCAGGTGCTGGAGACATACAGCTCTAATTCAGGGTCATTATCATGTCTTCGGTGCCAAGAGGAGTGTTTCTTTCCATGTTTCGATGACAGGAACAGCTTGTGCTGCTCAGCCATGATTTATTGTGTATGATAAGAGGGAGGCAATAGCCTGGCAGCACGTGGGCAGGGTGCATGTGTTTCTCCCGTGCCACATTTACCTCTCACTATCCAAGAGCCTTGCCAGAGCAACTTGCTCCCCAGCACTGCTGGGCAAAGCTGTGATCCCAGAAGGACACCTTGGGAAGCCTATGGAAAATGCAGTGCTTCACACAGGTTTTACTGAGTGGAGACACTAGGTGTCACAGGGACATAATATCCAATGATATTGGGAAAACACGGCTGGGCACAGTACTGTAATGCTCGTATATAACGTTCCCATCCTTTTCTCCAAAGCTGGGTGGTGAGGATGCAGCTAAACCAGAGAACAAACTGGATTTTGGAAAACTGGTGCTGCCCATGTCTTTATGGGGAGCAGAAAAAGGAGGCAGCTGGGGCAACAGCAGGCTTATCTCCTGGGGCTGACCTCACCAGGTGTAGGGTGCTCCACTGAGGTGTAGGAATGGCTACAACACCTTGAGCTATTTGGGGAGGTAGGGCTGTACATGCTGTGAAATACAGCTTAGGAGTGCAGGGATCAAATACAGTGGTCAGTGCCATGTCAGATATCCCATCCCATCCCATCCTGCTGCATCAAGGGGGCACAGCTCTCTTGAGGTCCCTTTGTCATCTCCACCAGCCCCATGGGGATGTCTTCATACCCTTGAGTATCTCAGCTGACCCAAAACACAACAGAGCTGGGGAGCTTTAAAGTCACATAAAGACAAGCTCAGCAATGGGGCCCTCAATCACAACACAGCTGTATAGAGATGTTCTGGTTATAGACATCTCCTCATCCAAATCCTACTCTGAGGCTGCTATCCTTTATCAGAATAACCCCCAAAATCTCTAGTTGAAATTATAACATTACTTCACCCAATCGTTCCCTTGCTCACTTCCAGGCAAAAATGATGGGTATTTGGGAGTATGACTACAGTGGGCTCCCTTGCCTCCTGACAGCTATTCAGCCTTAATTACCAGAAAGCACTTTGGGATGCTTTGACTGTGAAAAGCACTTAAAGACCATTAAGTTCTCATCTCGATTTACTCCAGAGTAGTAGCCAAGTATTTATCTCCCAGGAAGTGTAACAGATAATAGTTTCCTACACAGTGTGTCTCAGTGGAGCAGGTTTATTTTGGAAGGAGAGCTTTTTATTTATTCATCCTGCTGGCAGGGTTCTCCTCTAATGTTTTACCTTGGTGTGTGGCTCATGTGGTCCCCAGGGAACTGGGTCTCCAGGCCTTCTTGAGCCTTTCAGTCTCTTTGGCTGAACTGACCTGAAAGTCTTCACAGCCTCTGTGCTTGTGCCAAAATATTTCAGCTCCACCAGCCAGACATTCTCCCTTTGGTGGGTTTCATGCACCTAGTGATGCGATGGAGTCAGGGCATGTCCAGCCACAGGAGGTTTGGTCCCTCACTCAGCTTCCCTGTCCAAAATGTAGGTGCATCCATGAGGGTTTTTTAAGCATTTACCTTCTGGAGATAGTTTCCCACCAGCTGTGGATGTGTGTGCCAGGCCAGGCGTGGAAACACAGCCAAGCCCCAGGACATCCCCACCTCCCCTCCAGACCCAAGCGAACTGTTTAAGCTTTATTTTACTCTTTTCTAATATGGTATTTCAGTGAGATACATGGTCTCACTGGTCCCACCGGGGAGGGCGAGCACTGCCCAAGAGCACTTTGTGCAGCTGGGAGGAGGAGGGAGCTGCCCGGTAGATGGCAATACTGCCATTCCCTCAGCAACAGGCTTGGA